GGACAGTGGCAAAACGATGATGTCACTTGTGACATTTCAATAGGTACCTCAGGCAATGTCACTTTAACAAATAAGAAATTTTGAAAATATTTTCGGACCAATTCCTTTTCCGGTAATTCTAACCATTTTCCTGCTACGACGGAACATCAGAAAAACAGGCCCCGCAAACAGACGCAAATTTAGTTAATAAAAAAGAAAGGTCGACAAACAGTTGTCCAGCACAGAATGACTCACTCGGCCAAATCACCTTACGCCACAGTACTCACTAATCTATTATAAAATTTGAATCCCATGCTGCTCAACAGTCATCCAGCGAACTCACTTAACCTTTGAATCATCTCCGCTTTAAACACTGGTCATTGTAATAAACCAAGTTTCATCATCATCATCATCATCATTTCAATGATCGAATGTGGTCTCAGGGACGTTGCGCAGTGGAACGCTTGACCAGCTCTCCCCCCCCACCACCACCACATGTCTCATTGTCTATTCATTCATGCATCGCGTGTCTTGGGCAAAGTATACCTGCACCCCCCACACGCACACACAAAAAAAGAAGAAGAAGAAGAAGAAGAAGAAGAAGAAGAAGGAGGAGGAGGAGGAGGAGGAGGAGGAGGAGGAAAAAAGATAAATTAATTTTCAACGCAATATTAAAAAAACAACGAGGAAATAAACAGTATATTGCTGATATCCCTTGACGAGGGAACAGAGCGATTGATGGAGTGTCCGTCTACGAAATTCTAGTCGGGATGCTGAAGGTAACATCAATCAGGTAAATGACAAATTGAATTTTGAATATTTATATATATATATATATATATATATATATATATATTAGGGAATATACATACTATCCAACGTCGATAACACGGGTCGGAGTTTCATGCAGAAAATACTTGCACCTGACGATTGCATAAACTGCATGAAACTCCGAGTCGTGCTATCGATGTTGGATATTATGTATATTCACTAATATATACTTATAGCTTTGTTTCATAGCATTGAGCACTGTATAACACCTGAGGTAGAAATATATTTATACGTACCTGCAAGTATATGTATCTGTATGTAGATATTTCATTCAGTCCTATATACCAGAGTATTTTGCTTGCATATAGTAAATTTAATTATTTAGCTTTCAGTTAATACTAAAATGAATTCTTCAAGAATGATTTTCATTTAAAAAAAATTCATTTTAAACCTTAGGTATCGAAAATTCAATGGAAGAATCTACATTAAATGCCTTAGTTTCTCCTAATAATTTTGATTAAAAAATGTTACTGTTGTGGCGGACGTCATCACATTTATTTAACTTAGATTAGGAAACCAAACTGGCGTGAAGAAAAAGAGGATAAGCCAAAGACATCATTACACATAAAATTTGTATTTAACAAGATGTATAAACAAGGATGTGAAAGAAAAGCATGCATTGAGTAAAACAAGAGTTGTCTCTCTTTAACTATCAATTGTTCCAAAGTTCACTGAACGCAATAAGTTTGTAATTGTTTCTGGTAATAAATGTTTTCAACAGTTTTGCTGTGTAGGAAGAAAACATTATGTGAGTATAGGGAATATTCAGCATGTGAGTGGTGGTGTGAGTGAGAAGATTGGCGCATGGTTTCAACTGTCGTGAATTTCTGTGGCAGCTTAAAACTCACTGGTTTACTAAGAATTTTCTTCTCTTATATAGGTGATCATCGGCTTCGAAAGCGCTGCGCGGGAAGAATCACTCTTCACGTGCAGACAATCTGATTGGTTGGCATTGACCAATTAGCGAGCGAGCTTTGGGGAGACTCACGAAAAGCTTCTGGGATCCGATTCTCCCAAAAGTGCACGAAATCGACTACATGAAAATATAGCGATTATAAAATTGTCGCCTTACACAGTAGTGTTGATTTACTATCCAATGAATGCTTGTTGTTGTATAATTTGAATTTGCATAAGTATGTATGTATATGTGTGATGATGATGATCGTCACACTTTCATCAAAAAACCTCTTTTTGCCAGAGGATTTCTCTTAACGGCTGCTAAGTGGCGTCATATTAAGCGCTGTAAAAAGAAACGACATACTCTATTTCTTTTGGCTCTCTTTATCCAAGCTGTAGTAGTCTCGTAACCACCTACCCCACCCGTGGAAACTGTCACATTGCAAACCGACTTTTAATTTCAAACGAACCACGTGGCGCGCTCCCTCCCCCTTCCTACCTCACAATAATCACATAAGTATATCTTTCCTTTTTCTGAGGTATATCGTTTTGTATGAAATTATGTTAAATCAACGTATGTACTGAATTCATTCATTTTGACAGTCCTAAACCAAAGTCCGGTTTGTTTTGTTTTACGGTATATCAACCTGAATGAGTTATTTAATGCCGACAAGATTTTTATCGATGGTAATATTTTCTTTTTTTTTTTTTAAAATGTATTGCTGCTATTTTTTCCGAAAATGTATTGCTGGTAATAATGTATTACAGGAAATAATTTTTTCTTCAAAACTATATTGCTGGTAAAAAATTTTCAAAAAAAAGTATTCCTGGTATTGAAAACTATTTTTATACTTTCATAGTGTTTTGACCTCTTTTGGAGGTTAACTATTTCCCCATAGCTGGGATCCTGACAGGTGTTACCATCCTGGGTCAAGGTGAACCTTGGAACACTTGCAATTAAGAAGTGGTTCCACGCTTCCCAAAACCACCTGATCAGAGGCCTTGATGTCGGTTGTAGTTTATCGTCATACCCAGGACGCGGATGTAATTTATCGTCTTACCCAGGACGCGAATGTAGTTTATCGTCATACCCAGAACTGCCAAAGTCCGTTGCACTTGGCAACCGCTTCCGTCTACAAAAGTACTTGCCTTGAAACTCAGCATTCGAAATCTAGTCTTTTTTACTTAGTGGCTCTAGTGAAAAATACTCGACTCTATTGGATCGTGTGGGTTTACGTGTTGTTAAATTAGGAAACCGTGTCTTTATTCCTGCTAGAAAAAGGTCAAACTACAAGAACATGGCAGACTCAAGTTGAATCCAACCGAAGATGTAAAGAAAACAAACAAGACCGATATATATATATATGTGTCAACAAATATATATATTAAACAACAAATTTATAAGTGACAAAGACATCAACATTTGTGTTTGTGTGCTAACGAAAAGAGTTTGTACATTGGTGAAAGTTCGTATGTGTGTGCGTGATTCATGGCGTTTTCCCACAAGTGGGTGAAAACGAGGATCTCTACGAGAGATCACATTTTTAAATGTGTTCACTGAAATGCAAAATCAAAAGAAAACGAGACAATAAATTGCCCAATATTTATAGTGTAGGGAGAGCGTCCCCTAGTGAACAATTAGGAAATTAAGGAGGAGTTAACTCCGACACGACTTTTTCTGCCACGAGGCTTTAGTCATTTAACAAATTTCTGCTTGCATCTTCGATTTTCTTTAAGTCAGAAAATAGGCACGCGAAAATATTCAATTGCTTTAGACGTTTATTAGCATCACAGATCACATGTTAATTATATTCTGAGATCGATGACTGGAAATTTATTGTCACATCACTGCAATTGATTCTATAGCCTCAAACACTTCTATCAATGGGGGCTTTGATTTCAAATTGGCGATTTGTTAAATTATCTCCCTTTTATCTTAACTCAGTTATCTGCTGTACTGTTCAGTGTGAATTTTGCACACACACTAAATATAAATTAAATTGAGAAAAATCCAAAGAAAAAACGTACAAAAATTTGTAGCCGGTAATTGTATTGCAGTAAGCGATATTTGATTATAATCGTTGGATTAACTCTTTCCTTATATGGAAACATTCAGAATTCATTGAATTGAACGTTGCTGTCAATTGAAATTTGTAAAATCTTTCTCTTAAAACTGTTGGTCAGACAAATAAGTTTCTCAAGTCGACTGTAAACGCTTTCTCCTGCTGGTTGTAGTTTCCTTCCTAACATTTTGGATAAGGTAGTGTGGAAAGTCTACATCTACATATATCATTAGTTTCCCTTCTCGTTACATATTCTACCCATTTTAGTTGTGACTGTTGTTCAAAGTGATTCTCTAGCGCCAATTTATTAGATCTGAGAAAGAATTGTCTGTTTAAGACCTACAGGATTTCTTCGCTTGAAGCCATTTTTAATATATATATAATAAAAAAACACAATAATAAGATCTTGAACAAACCCCCATGCCTAAACAGTATTAATAAAAACCCTGCACTTAAATCAGACAATAAAAGGGAAAAATTATGTAACTGTAGAAACCTAGAAGACTGCCCATTAGAAAATAAATGCTGCATTAAATCTGTGGTATACCAATGTACTATATCATCCACGGAGAGCCCTAGCACTAATAAGATACACATTGGGTCCACGAAGAATGATTTTAAAGATAGATGGAGGCAGCATAAGTGCTCTTTCAATAATATAAACAAAAGAAATCAGACTTCCCTATCTAAATATTTTTGGCATCTGAAGGAAACAAATAGGACACCTAAAGTTAAATGGAAAATTATTGACAAGGCTAGAACATGTAAAACTTGGGATGACCCATGACCTTTGTGCCTCCATGAGAAATTGCACATTATTAAGCTTCTAAATAATAATAATCTATTAAACAATAGACACGAGTTAACGGTTTTTTGTAGACATCATCAGATTTTTGGTTTGAATTATTAGCTAAAAACAAGCATACAATATAATAACTTGTTTAATCCATAGCCCAATCATCAGATTCATGGTTTGAATAATTAACTAAAAACATGCATACAATTTAACACCCTTCATAATCCATAGCCCAAATAAATAGTTTAAATACCCTAAAAAAAGATAACCCTTTATGAAGTCGTCAAAAAACAAACGTTACGACAGCTTTTTTATATGCACAAATCCCTTTCATAAAAAAATAAAATAAAAAAATAAATAAATCTCCATAGACATGCAAACTAGACGAGGGTTAATACATCTTCCGTTTCAAATTTAGACACCCCCACCTTTCT